GTCAATGTGTGGAGCCCAAGGAAAAGCAAACTGTATTTGAGATTGGCCAAGTAACTATTTCCTTGTCAACATTGCTTCTCATTTCGCCTCTCTCCCCTTTTTTGTACTGTTTGTTCATCGAGACAGTTTATGGGCAGAAATACATAGATCTTGCTGGATCCTTGGAAGGCTTGCATCCTAAAGTCCCACTCTACAAAATCAATGAAGGGAACGAACCATGCTTCTTCACCACTTACTTTTCTTGGGATGCCACTAAAGCTATCGTAAGTTTTCTTGTGGATGAAATATGTTTAGTTTCTTTTTCTTTCAGTGGCTGGCATGAAAATGTGTCTGCTTTCCGTGAAGTGCTAGTTAGGGATTTATTAAAGAGGGATTTAGATAATATAAATAGATAACTCTGAATGTTACCTCATGGATTTTCCTTTACTGTTTCTCTTTCTTTTCTCCTTGAATTTACTTTTCTTCTGCTTTTAACATGGGATATAGGTACAAGGAAACTCATTCCAGAAAAAGGCAGCGTTGTTACTTGGCACTCACCACGTTGTGGAGGTAATACACATTTGCTTTTTCAGTTTGGTTAGGACAATAAAAAACGCTCTTATTACTTTCCGGCTACTTGGGTTCATGATATTTGTCCTTTTTCTGCTGCAGGATAAGTCTAACGGTGGTAACCAAGGACTAAGGCAGAGGGCTGAAGCACTAGCTGCCTTAAATTCTGCATTTAATTCTTCTAGTAACCGGCCTGCCTACTCGGTATATATCTTTACTCTAATTCAATGTTTCTACTATATTCTTTCTGAGATATATAAGTCAAAGAACTGAAGATATTAGCATGTCTTGAGAATTTTGATAAAGAATAATGGCTTTGACTTTAGTTTTCCATAAGTTTCCCAGTAATGGACATTTCAATGACCCTGCTTGTACAAAACCAATCTATGACCATTTAGCTGTTAAACCATCTATCTGGTTGGAAGCTGAACAGATTTTCAGCCTTCTAGTTCAGAGTCCCGTCCTAAATCCAACTAAATTAGAGAGTATAATTCTTTACATGATTCTCAATACAATGACCTAAAAATTTGTTGCAGTCTAGACTAAGCTGCTTGAATATATCAACGGGGTTCATCGTCGTTTGTTTTAGCCAAACCTAATCCATTACAAGGAAAAATAAACTTTTGTATGCTTACCAAGTCGCATCTGATTCTTTGATTAGTGAACTTAGACAGTCATCTATTTTAACTGCAGAGCCAGGACAGATCAAACGAAAGTCACGACGGCCCAAGACAGAGAGCTGAAGCTTTAGCAGCATTGTCATCCGCATTCAATTCTTCTTCGTCATCAACTAAATCGCCTCCACCACCAAGGCCAGTGGGGACGAGTCAGGCTTCACAGAGAGCAGCAGCAGTGGCTGCTCTCTCTCAAGTTCTTGTTGCGGAGAATAAGAAATCACCTGATACCTCTCCTACAAGAAGATCCACTAGCTCCAACCCAGCAGATGACACCCCTCTAAGTAAGTTTTTCTCTTTGATTCCACGTTTTCAAACTTCGATAACACAATTGACTATAACTATCTTCATCCACAGCGGAAGCAAAAGATGAAGAAGAGGCTTCAGAAGTAGCTGGTCATGAAGCCAAGGAAGAAGAGGAAGTCTCACCTGCAACAGATGAAACAGAAGCAAAGGAGGAAACAGAAGAGCAAGGTGATTCTGAAATAGAACCAAGTGGAGCAACTTTCACCTATGAACAGCTGAGAGCTAAATCTGAGAACCCAGTGACTGGAATCGATTTCAAACGCAGAGAGGTGAGTTAGTTAGATAGTTAACTACTAGGAGATGAATCACTTTATCTATTACCTAACTAACTTGCTGTTTCTTATTGTTGTGGTCAATTTACTACAAGGCTTATCTATCGGAGGAAGAGTTCCAAAGTGTGTTTGGGATGGAGAAAGAAGCATTCAACAACTTACCACGTTGGAAACAAGATCTGCTTAAGAAGAAATTGGACTTGTTCTAGAACCTTTTTTATACCACTGGAAAAACATCTCAAACATCCTTCATTGCACAGTCCTGCAATTCAGTTTCTGATCCGATCTTACTATCTTTGGCGGTCGTGTGTTAATAATGGTTTTATTTGGCTCATTTATATTTTTCTCATGGGGGTTGGTTTGGGTTTGATTCTTAGCACAATGAGAGGTTATTTTGTAATGATGATGATGATGATGATGATGATCACCTATTGTAAGGGTAACAAAAATTCTTTGATTTGGATCTTCCATTGTTGTGACTATTTAAGCACATGTCTATTTGTATAATCAGATGCTTCATTGTTTTATGCATTTTTACGAATTATCAGAGGTTTTTATTCGGAACATTTTTGGTGATAATGGGCATATTTTTTATTTATCACCAACCAAACTAGGCCTGGGCGTTCGGATATTCGGGTCGGGTTCGGGTCAGGTTTTTCGGGTTCGGGTTTTTTGGGTTTAGAAAACTAAAACCCGTTCGGGTATTTTAAAACTTCGGGTTCGGGTCGGATTCAGATCGGGTATTTCGGGTTCGGATTCGGGTATACCCGAAGTATCCAAATATTAGAAATTTTGTATCCGATTCTATGCAAAGTATTGAAAAATACTCAAAAAATCTATAAAACCTAAGTATTTTATACCCGAATGTAACCAAAAGTAGTTAAAACACTCGGAAATATCTTAACATCCGAATAATTTAGGCACTTAGGTTATTACAAGTATAAATATTACTAATATATTATCACTATGTACTTATATTTGGGTATGTTCGGGTACTTGTTCGGGTTCGAGTTCGGGTCGGGTTCGGGTTCGGGTTTTCGGGTTGTGAAGTTTAGAACCCGTTCGGGTATTTTAAAACTTCAGGTTCGGATTCGGACCGGGTTTTTTGGGTCGGGTTCGGTTCGGTTCTTCGGGTTCGGGTATTATGCCCAGCCCTAAACCAAACGATGTGTTTTACTCATTATTGACAGCACAAAGATTATAAATCTTTGTGACTATTTAATTTGTGACTATTTGATTTGGATCTTCCATTGTTGTGACTATTTAAGAACATGTCTATTTGTATAATCAGATGCTTCATTGTTTTATGCATTTGTACGAATTATGAGAGGTTTTTATTCGGAACAATTTTGGTGATAATGGGTATATTTTTTATTTATCACAAACCAAACGATGTGTTTTACTCATTATTAACAGCACAAAGATTTATAATCATTGGTAAATAGTATTGAAGTAATTGTTTCTTTCGAGGAGATTTTGACTACTAACGAATGTAAATAGGTTAACCAAATCACCATTTGGATGTCAAACCGTTTCAATAAAAAAAAAAACCAAAATCACAAACAAACCGAACATTAGATCTGAAAACAAAATAACGAAGAACAAGAGAACCATCGAAGAAGAACAAAACCACTAAATCTCAATTCCTAATCGATTTTCTCGCTCATTCCTCACCAAAAGCTGGATCTGCTTAAGATTGTTATCCACCTGAAGAAGATCCGCCGAGGAGAGCTCTGCGAGGAGGTTGTGAGCTGCAACCCTTGCCCTATCATTTGCCTCAAAATTGACTATACGTACTATACATCCCCACATTATATTTGCTTATAATCTTTATTCCTCTCGCATGTAGCTTTGATGACTCCATGGCTCACCGGTCAATTATAAGGCTCTAGCTCTAGCATATATGTAGCTTTGAAATATTTAGAGAGAGATCAGATCAGATTCGATTTTGATTTCAGAAAACTTTGAAAGGCAAATCGTGTGTTAATGATTTTATGTGGGTCAGTCAATTTGTTGTTGGTTTGAAGAATGTATTTTTTGTTTCTTTTCTTCAGTTTTATTTACTTGGCTCATTTATATTTCTCTCATGGGTTGGTTTGGGTTTGATTCTTTATATTTTCTGACAGCACAATGAGGTTTCTGGTAATGATGATGATCATAGATTGTAATGATTGTTTTACCCGAGACAGATTTGTGATTGTGGGCAGCAAAATTCTCTGATTAGTGATCTTCCATCGTTGTGACTATTTAAGAACTAATTTTGTACAATCAGATGCTTCACTATTTTATGAATTATGAGCAGTGGCGAACCTAGAAATGTTTTTTACATGCGTCAAATAATTTAATTAATTAAAAAATTATATATATATATATATATACTATGTTAACTTTTTATTTATTTTTGATGATACATTGTGAAATATAATTTAACAATCTTAAAAAAAAAAAGTCAGAACATGCTTAATATCGCATAATAAAAATATACAAATACTTAAAATCACATCTATAAGTTAAACTATTTATTAATTACTATATCACACTTTTGCATATATATAAACAGGTTTAATGAAATTATTTGGTGCAAACTTTTACAAAAATCTCAATTCTCTACACAAATATAATAGTTTTTATATTTGATGAATATTAATCTGTTTAAACTCTACAACAGGTAAAGATAACAAATAATAATACAAAATCAATTGATACTTCAATAAAAAAGAAACGTATTAAAAAGTTATTTGTAGGAAAAAAAAAACTGTAAACTAAAATTATTTAAAAATGAAATAAGGTTTAAATTAAAAACATCATGGAATAGGTGTCATCGTTACAAACCTCACTATTAAATGGGTCAAACACAAACACATATGCTAAATATTCATTTTCTATAATAGCTAAAGAAAGTTTTTTAAATTTAACCTGTGTCAATTGCACCCCCGCTATAAACTTAGGTCCGCCACTGATTATGAGACGTTTGGTGATAATGGGTATATTTTTAAAAATTTCTAATACTAGTTGCTTTTATTCATCACAAACTATCTGTTTTACTCATAACATCTTATTTAGTAAATGTTCTCTATGCTAAGGTTTAATCATTGTTAAAAATTGATTACCTTTTTTTACGTTTTAACAATTGTTTGTTTTTAGGAGAATTGACGACTAATGTAATTTATATTTTCATTGTTGGTCTAAGCTTCCATTCTTGGTCTAAGCTTCGGATCTGAATTATATCAAGAGCTAGAAAATTACATAAGATTAATATTCAACCCTTAGCACACAAGTTAAAGCAGCAGACGAAGACATGTTAGAGATGCTTCTAGCGGATCCACGACATAAAATAAAAAACAATAATCTTCATACATCTCAAATGAGATGATTTAAATCATGATGAAAATTAATGTTCATCATCATCTTCACCACATAATGTATCCAAAATATCTTTAGCAGAGGACGAGTCTGACCCAATGAGCCGATCTAGCTTATCCTCACTCCACCAACTTGTCGGTTGTAGCTTACGGCGACCATTAGATTTGTGGCCCGACTTGATAGCCGGCAACACATGACAATTACTGTACTTGGACCGCTCACTTTCTTTGGTGATATTTGAATGGTTGGTAGTCTTTGATGGCGCTTTGGTAAAATCTCCAAAAGCTGGTGGTGAATCGAGCCGGTTAGTGGTTCGCGGATTAAACCCCCGCGGATGAATCATTCCTGTTCTTACGATGCCTTGGTGACGACCTTCACTCTTCATGTTTGCTTATTTTGATTTGAGACTTGATGAATTGTTGAATTACTAATGTCTTGTTTATATATTTGTGGAGCTTACCAAATATGTTTGGGGAACAAGAAAATGAGAATAGTCAAACATGCTTGTCCACCAAGAAAATAATACTCCTATATTCTTTGCTAGCCTTTTGTTTTTGTCGGCATTATCTAATGATTGAAAGAAAAATCTGTTCAGACATTGAAAACATTGTCGTTTGCTCTTCCTAATTTTGTCGACTTTTAAGAATTATATGTAAAATGTTATATAGCTTTATATGATTCAAGTAAATTCTAAAAACGGAACAGTAAACCTGAAATTCTAAAATTTTATACTCTATCTAATACATAAAATTTCTACCCTGAAATTTTCAAAGTTTTTTTAGTTTATAGTATCTTAGTTACTAGTAATGTTTTCCTAACCCTATATTAAACTCATGTTTAATCAATAGTTATCAATCTGGGCCTAAATTTTATCACTATTTTATCCTAAGAAAGTGACCTTAGTATCGATAAACAAAGATGGGCCGAAAAATATCGAGGATGGGCTTTAAGATCCGTAGCCGCGAGAGTAATGTTATCTCTTTATCCACCGAAGTCCTTGAACGTTTTGCTTTAATGGCTACCGTTACCAATTTCAAGCTCGTCACTCCGCCGGAATCTTCCCGCGCCGATAAGCCAGGAGCCACGAAGACCTCCGAGGCATTTCAGGAGAAGAAGTCTGTCTCTGTGAACTACGACCGTGGTGAGCATGAGGTCTCGATCCGCGTCGGCGGGCTCAGGAAAGCTGATATTCCGAGACGTTACCGAATTCGGGTTGAGAACGACCGGTTTCAGAAGGATTGGAGTGTGTCGGAGGTGGTGGACCGGCTTATGGCTCTCAATCGTTGGGAAGAAGTTGATGGTGTTCTCAATTCCTGGGTTGGCCGGTTTGCTAGAAAGAATTTTCCGGTTCTTATCAGGGTATGTCTCGATTTTGATTGGTATTATTCACTAATGTTGTGTTGAAATTGAACTTAGTGGAGTTTGAATTTTGGAACTTCGCAGGAGCTTAGTAGAAGAGGGTGCATCGAGCTTTGTGTGAATGTTTTCAAGTGGATGAAGAGTCAGAAGAATTACTGTGCAAGGAATGATATATACAATATGATGATTAGGCTTCATGCTAGGCATAATTGGGTTGATCAAGCTCGTGGTCTCTTCTTTGAAATGCAGAAATGGAGGTATGTGTGAAGTTATTTTTACAGTTTCTTGGATATCAATTGATTGAGAACGTTTTATGCTATGGCTATGTAGCTGCAAACCGGATGCTGAGACGTATGATGCTCTTATCAATGCCCATGGTCGAGCTGGTCAGTGGCGCTGGGCTATGAATCTTATGGATGACATGTTACGTGCAGCTGTGTGTAACTTTGCTTAACTCATGTAAAGATCTTTCACCTCTTATACGGTTTTTTGACCCTTTTCTGGCTTTGCAGATTGCTCCTAGTCGTTCAACCTACAATAATCTGATCAATGCTTGTGGTTCTAGTGGAAACTGGAGACAGGCTCTGGAAGTATGCAAGAAAATGACAGATAACGGAGTTGGACCGGATTTGGTCACTCACAACATTGTGTTGTCAGCATACAAGAGTGGTCGTCAGTATTCAAAGGCGCTATCTTATTTTGAGCTCATGAAGGGAGCTAAAGTTCGTCCCGATACTACAACTTTCAATATCATTATATATTGCCTGTCAAAGCTTGGTCAAAGTAGCCAAGCCCTTGATGTTTTCAATTCCATGAGGGACAAGAGAGCTGAATGTCGACCTGATGTTGTGACATTTACTAGCATCATGCATTTATACTCTGTCAGGGGAGAGATAGAAAACTGCAGAGCTGTGTTTGAAGCAATGCTTGCAGAAGGTCTGAAACCTAATATCGTTTCCTATAATGCCTTAATGGGCGCCTATGCTGTTCATGGAATGAGTGAAAATGCTCTCTCAGTTTTTGGAGATATAAAGCGGAATGGTATTGTCCCAGATGTGGTCTCTTATACAAGCTTGCTCAATTCTTATGGGAGATCACGTCAACCTGGAAAGGCAAAGGAGGTATTTCTCATGATGAGGAAGGAAAGGAGAAAGCCTAACGTTGTTACTTACAATGCACTGATTGATGCTTATGGGTCTAATGGGTTTCTAGCTGAAGCTGTGGAAATCTTCCGGCAGATGGAACAAGACGGCACTAAGCCAAATGTGGTTTCAGTATGCACTCTTTTGGCTGCTTGTAGTAGGTCTAAGAAAAAGGTGAATGTTGAAACTGTACTTTCCGCAGCACAGTCGAGGGGTATCAATCTCAATACGGCAGCCTATAACTCAGCCATTGGAAGCTATATAAATGCTGCAGAACTTGAGAAGGCCATTGCATTGTATCAAACTATGAGAAAAAAGAAAGTCAAAGCTGATTCTGTTACTTTCACTATCCTTATAAGTGGTTCATGTAGGATGTCAAAATACCCTGAAGCAATTAGTTACTTGAAGGAGATGGAAGATCTCAGTATTCCATTGACAAAGGAGGTGTACTCTTCTGTTCTATGTGCTTACAGCAAACAGGCAAGTGCTTAGAGTTTGAGCTCAGAAGAAGACGTGTGTATTTGATAGAATTCTGATTTTCGTATGGTGTGACTGTCACTTTCTTTGTGATAATTTTCCAGGGTCAAGTTACAGAAGCGGAATCCATATTCAACCAGATGAAAATGGCTGGGTGCAAACCTGATGTGATTGCATACACTTCAATGCTCCATGCTTACAATGCTTCAGGTAAATACCATGAGTACAAGGCTGTTAAAGATCGTAACAAAATGTTTTCAGTGGATCTGAATTCGCTTGGAATGATTTTGTGTTGCCAGAAAAGTGGGGAAAGGCTTGTGAACTCTTCCTGGAAATGGAAGCAAATGGAATAGAGCCAGATTCGATTGCTTGTTCAGCTTTGATGAGAGCTTTCAACAAGGGAGGTCAACCGTCAAATGTCTTTGTCCTGATGGATTTAATGCGGGAAAAAGAAGTCCCCTTCACTGGTGCGGTTTTCTTTGAGATTTTTTCCGCTTGTAACACGTAAGTTCTTGTATGTCTATGTAAAACATTACAGTGAATTACTTGCTCGAAATATAGAAAGAGCAATATATCATCCTTCTTCTTTCAACATTGCAGCTTGCAGGAGTGGAAAAGAGCAATCGACCTCATCCAAATGATGGATCCGTATCTACCATCGCTTTCTATCGGGTTAACTAATCAGATGCTGTATCTTTTCGGGAAGAGTGGTAAAGTTGAAGCAATGATGAAGGTGCAACAAACTTTTAGTTTATCTGCTAATTACGCAGTCTCTTTCTTTTCTGCCAAGTTGTTTACAGAAATGAAACAAGAATTTTAACCAAACCATGTTTTACATGCAGCTGTTCTATAAGATTATAGCCTCTGGTGTTGAAATCAACTTCAAGACTTACGCCATATTGTTGGAACATCTTTTAGCTGTTGGAAACTGGAGAAAATACATTGAGGTAATACTTTTTTGCTTTGTCTCCGGCAAAATGATTTTCAATTAACAACAATGATCTATACCAAGCAAGTTCTTGCGGTTCAGAAATAAAATTTGACCTGGTGTCAATGTTTTACAGGTTTTAGAATGGATGAGTGATGCTGGTATTCAACCCTCGAACCAAATGTATCGTGACATTATCTCCTTTGGTGAAAGAAGTGCAGGGATCGAATTCGAGCCTCTAATACGCCAAAAATTGAGTGAGATGAGAGAGGAATACAAAAGAGATTATTCTGTCACATGATTTTCGATTCAGCAAAAGTTTTGTTTGGTGTCTCGCATTTCATTTTTTGTTGGTTGTCCCACAGATTCACTGAGAAACATTGGAGAAGATCTGAGTCCAACTTTTAGACACCAAGGCACATTGTTGTAGTTTCCACTGTATGTATTTTTGGCCCAGTGATAATGTATATGATGTTTGTAACTTGTAATTCCCCTCTATCAAATAATATTAAGTAAGAAAGAAATCATTTGGGTTTTGGAGTATTGAAAATAAATGCTGATTGGTGGCTTGAGTTACATTTTTGAAGTAGCTATATTATATATATGACTTCATATACATATCATATTTTTAATATTTGTGTATATATTTGCCTTTTTTACACACCAACATATTAATAAATTTTGCATAAATGTTATATATATGATTAAAAAATCATAAAACTAATATGAAGAATCAAATGATAAGAAAAAAATTCCGAATTTAAATATTCAGAAAACAATTAAGCTAAGTTTGATAAACAAAAAACAACATCGTGAGTGTACCATAGGAAGAATATTCCTTGGAACGAGGCGAGAGTTGGGAAACACTCCACATTAAAATGTCAGAACCTAGAAACAGATCACGTACACGTGGACATAATTAGTACACGTCAGCATAAAAACCTATTCAGCTAAATGACGAAAACACCCTCGTCTTCGTACATAGCCGTTGCAGTTGTTATCTTTCGCTTCGTTAAAAAGGGTAAACAAAATTGGGACGTAATGGTAAATTTAACTCCGTAATTTTATTTTGCCGTTGTTAAGATTAGAAAAGACTCAAAAATCTCATCATTGTATTCGGTGAAAAAGAAAGAGTCAAAGTTGAATTTTCTCAGCTCTCACTCTCTTTCTCTCTCTCTTTGCCTCTACTGTATCAAGCTCGGTTTTGCTTAGCCATAGTGCGTCTAGGGTTTGGTTGGGGGAGAAGGTTCCGATCATGGCGTCGGTATCGTCGTCGGATCAAGGACCTAAGACAGAAGCAGGATGTAGCGGCGGAGGAGGAGGAGGAGGAGGAGAGAGCTCAGAGACAGTGGCGGCGAGTGATCAGATGTTGTTGTATAGAGGTTTTAAGAAGGCGAAGAAGGAGAGAGGTTGTACAGCTAAAGAGCGTATTAGTAAAATGCCGCCGTGTACTGCTGGGAAAAGGAGTTCCATATACCGCGGAGTCACCAGGTACTGTGACTTTTTAAATCGGGATTGTCGGTTTGTGATGCGGAGGAGATTAGAGTATAGGTTTGATTGTGAATTGGGAGTTGCGGAATCTTGTATCAGAGTATGGAATGTTTAAATAGGTGGATATGCCCTTTGGTTAGAGATCTTCTGTCGAGCTGAGTTATCTGGAATCGGTTAATTGTTCTGAGAAACACTAATTTGATTCACCTAATATCAGATTTTATAGTTGCTAGGCATAGACTAGAGAAATGAGTAGGTTTTTTTAGCATCCGCCTGCAGTTTTGTCCCATAGCAGTTGGAGATGTTGATGCGTTTTGTTTGTTATATTTGTGTTGAGTACAGACATAGATGGACAGGTCGTTATGAAGCTCACCTGTGGGATAAGAGTACCTGGAACCAAAACCAGAACAAGAAGGGAAAACAAGGTTTCTCTTTTTTTCTCTCCGCATCTGATAAAATCACTTTTGTCATTTGCAATGAGTTTTCTCTTGTTTGGAGTATCAAAGCTGATCTTTTCTGTTTTCTTTATATTTTCATGGTTGACGGAAATTTCGCCTCACCAGTTTATCTAGGTAAGCTGAAAGTTTTATATAGTTGTTGATTATGTTTTTGTATATCAAATTGGATCATCTTTGACTGAAGAACCCAACTCTTACTTGATAGGAGCATATGATGATGAAGAGGCTGCTGCTAGAGCTTACGACCTTGCTGCCTTAAAATATTGGGGCCCTGGGACACTTATAAATTTTCCGGTGAGATTGCTACGGTAGTATGCTTTATAAGTTGAGGTTTATACTCTTCAACCATAGGGATTCCTTAATAATAGTACTGATCAATTTATATGCATAAGTGGAAGAAAGATGGCTACATGCATTTACCTATTCCATTCTCGTAGGTGACTGACTATACCAGGGATTTAGAGGAAATGCAAAATCTCTCAAGGGAAGAATACCTTGCGTCTCTACGTAGGTGCGTATGTATTTAAAAGTAACATATTTTTCTCTTAAGAACCATTTATTGCTGATACTCTTTAGATATCCCTTTGGCAGAAAAAGCAGCGGTTTCTCAAGGGGAATAGCAAAATATCGGGGACTTCAAAGGTAAAATTGGACCAACAATTGGCTTATGTTCCCATTTCTCTGTTTTGTTTGAATAACTATGGAATCCAAAGTGATTAATTTTGTGTGAATGCCTATAAGGAAAATTCTTTAGTGACACATCGTGGAACATCACAGTTTAATTAATTGATACATGGTGGACTATCACTAGTTGATTTTATATAAAAAGTCTGTATGCTACTCTTAATTACAGGAATATGATAAAGCTATCTTCACTGTTTTGGCTGTAGCCCTCTTTCGTTTTGTCTTTTTAACTTTCTTTCTCACAATTAACATCCTGATATGCATTTCTGCTGTCTTTCCATCTATTCTGCAATTCCCGACCAGCCGATGGGACGCATCAGCCAGTCGTATGCCTGGACCTGAATACTTCAGTAACATTCATTACGGTGAGTTGCTAACAATATCGACCTAATGGAAAAAAATGTGTGCTTCCATCAGACTATTCAACACTCATTGTCATTATTAACAGGGGCAGGTGATGATCGAGGAACAGAAGGTGACTTTCTAGGTAGCTTTTGTCTGGAAAGAAAGATTGATCTAACAGGATACATAAAGTGGTGGGGAGTCAACAAGACCCGTCAACCAGAATCTTCATCAAAAGCATCAGAGGATGCAAATGTCGAAGATGCTGGTACTGAGCTTAAAACACTGGAACACACATCCCAGGCAACAGAACCATACAAGGCGCCAAACCTTGGCGTCCTTCGTGGAACTCAGAGAAAAGAAAAAGAAATATCATCACCATCAAGCTCTTCTGCTTTAAGCATCTTGTCTCAGTCGCCTGCCTTCAAGAGCCTAGAGGAGAAAGTGCTGAAGATCCAAGAAAGCTGCAATAATGATAACGATGAGAATGCAAATCGTAACATCATCAATATGGAGAAGAATCACGGCAAGGCAATAGAGAAACCAGTTGTGAGTCATGGAGTTGCTTTAGGCGGTGCTGCTGTGTTGTCTCTTCAGAAAAGCATGTACCCGCTCACCTCTCTCTTAACTGCTCCATTGCTCACCAACTTCAATACATTGGATCCTCTTGCAGACCCTATTCTCTGGACACCATTTCTTCCTTCAGGATCCTCTCATACTTCAGAGGTTCGTAGTTATTTATCTATGGAACCACAGACTTCAGAGGTTTACTACAACACATCTTTCTTATGTCATTTTTTTTGTCTCTCTTTCTTCTGCAGGTGACAAAGACAGAGACCAGCTGTTCCACGTACAGCTACATTCCACAAGAGAAATGAGCCGTTCCCTTTAGACTTTATGTATGTCAGATTCTCCTTTGGTGAGATGAATTTGTCGACTTGCCATCTGTTTTTGTCTCTTTATGGAGAGGAAGTTGGGAGAAGTGTGACAATGGTCTGAAGCAGGAATGTACAGGTTTTGTTAGTGGTTGTGTTTTTTTTTTCAGTGTGGAATATAGAATCATCATAATGTGTGTAAAACAGAAAAAGTTATCATTATAGTATAAAAGTTTGCTCTTAATACTTCTGCACAACGTATATTTTGATCATCTTTACCAAATGTTACAAATATGTATCTTTACATCATCTACACAAGACTTATCTAGTTTTGATACAACTAATTGAACCCTACTACCCAGACAGGGACTGAGTATATAACAGTTCCAATCGCAAAAGAAACCGCAATGGTGAAAGATGCATACGCATAGGCTCTCCATGGGTAATCACTTTCTCTCATCGCATTGAACTCAGCCATGAAGGTCGAAACTGTGCTCAGACATCCCAACAGACCAAACTGTATGCTCGAAGCAACCGTGTTACATGTTCTCGTGTTCACCTGTTTCCCAAAATTATACAAAGAATGTTATCTCCTGTGTTCTGTTTGGTAGAGAGAGAGAGAGAGGGAGGGGAGAGTTTATACCGATTTCTTTACAGTGGCCAATGCTGCCATAACGCAAGCTGCAGCTACATTTGCAATGAGGGTGCCAAATGGGACCCACCTCAAGTTTTGTCTATCTTTTCCCAGTCCACGTCCATTGAGTCGGGCTAAGAACCATCTGAGCCAGACACCAGGGGCTGCAACTAAGCAACCTAACCATAGTTGAGCCTCGCTTGTTCCTTTGTCAAACTCTTTCACAAGCAGAATGGAACTCGCAGTGAGTAAAGCCACAAGCAACAGAAGCATCAGGGTCATAGACACAATATGGCTCTGGAAGGTGTTAACCTTAAGACAAGAGTGTTTTTCCTCAGAAGAAGCTCTTCTATGAAGAAGCCATTTAAACCCTTTGGCCGTTTCCACTCCCAGAATTATGGAGTATGACGTGAGAAACAATCCTGTAAAAAGTTGTTTATGCTGTAAGGTAAGCAAGTATGTTTAATCCAATTTAGGATGTGATTGGAGATTCTGGGAAGGAAATTTTTTGTTTTTACCTAAAAGAAAGCCAAGCACGGCATATACCCATTGACCATCAGCACTAAGATCCAGCATTTTCTGGTTCCAACCGCTGAATGTTGTCAGGCTCCCCAAATAACCAGTAGATAATCCTATTGCCACAAATTCAGAAACTCTTGCTATATCTGCTTTGAATACGACACCAAACCAACCCATCAAGAATGATCCTACCTATAAGGAATCATGTGGAGAATTAATATTAAGAAAGATAGGTTTATAATTAAGGTTGAGATGAGTGCATTGCGACTTTTACCATGTTGGAGGGAAGATCAAGGTACAAGATGCTTCCATCACTTGTTACTCGAGCACCAGTTGGTCCAAACAATTTCTGCAGCAAATATCTCGTAATGGCCTGTTTATTTGGAGACAACGAGGGGATTACAATGATTTAAACCAAAACAAAGCACAACAGAGAGCCAGACAGAAACATGGAAAATAAGCACATCCCAAGAGTAGAGCCTCTGGAGTTTACCCCAAAAATCCCAAAAACAGCCAAATGAATTAGGCATGATATGTATTCCAAGGACTTTGGTAACACGCGCTCTTCCTCCTTTTCCTGTGCGAACCACGGGCTATTATAGATCAAAACATTGAACTAGAAACCAGTACTAACAGCTTTAATGTGACTATAAGAAATTAGAGATGGTCTCTACCGGGTTGTTTATCTCAGGTGACAAGAGTGACTTGGTCGGTAAAGGAGATGCTGTTATATCCTCAGGCAAAGGTTTATTTACAGAAGCTGTGTTGAAAGCTCGAAGATCATGTAATACATCTTGTTCTTGACGAGAAGTATCATGAGTCCCTTGTTCCATCAAATCATCGGCAGACAAACGGGTGCTTCGACCAGCACTATGCCTTCTCCGAAGTGAGCGATCCCCAATATCCCCAGCCTCTGAGACACTCTCACTATCGACGTCATTGTCCATAAGGTGAGGCAAACTACGTGATAAGCTTAAAGAAGAGGCTACACTGCTCTCCCGACTAAAAGACTTGGTTAAGTAGGGTTGTTCTACGCGGCTTTGACCGGAATCCATAGGCTTTGTTGCCAAAACACAGTATTTCTTAAAAGATGATGATGAAAGTGATGCTCCACCTGCACATATTTTAAGCCATAGCCACATACATAAGAAAAAAGACATGAAGGAATGTGCAAAAAGAGACAAGAGATAACCGAACAAGATGGCAAGTAAACACTAAATGAAGTTACGAGGAAAACATTCGAGAATTCGTAATGATTATTGAAGATACTGTTTGCAAAGTTTAGCTGTAATCTTCAAAACCATAGCTTTTTTTTATACTAAGACAACAAATTCACAAAAGTTGACATATTCATGATAGATTATGACTTTAATTAATTACTTTCAACAGAAACAGAAAATGAATGTCCTCATGAATCAAGATTTTGTCCTCCACTGTCCCTAAAACAAATGATAATAATTTGCTTTGCCTTTTAGACTAAACAACTTGGAAAAGTGGAAAACGAAAAAAAGAGTAGACTAAAATAATCAATCACTTGTTTACCAATAGAGAAAGCGAAAATCTTAGAAAGTTGTACAGGTGGCAAAGACGAATGAATACTTTTGATAGATTGGGACCTGTTTTGTGCTTGAGTGAGTGCATTTAAAATTCAGGAGCTTTACCTAATGGCGAATTCAGTCTTAATCGTGAAGAATCAAATTTGATCCAAAAGTCACCGGCGGAGAAATCGAGCTAACAACAATCAGATTCTAACGGGAGAAAATCGAAAACCAATTAATTTCTTCTCTGTTTTATTGGAAATTAAGGGAAGTATGTTCGATTGAAGAAGATGGACGGCCAAAGAAGCAGAAGAGACGATTGAAACTTGAAAAGGTTTATCGTTTCCAATTTTTTTATCGGAGGTCTCATCGAAACACACGTTCTGACGTTCAGTTACAGACAGTAGTTGGTTTAGTTGGGAAAACCGCACAAAAAAAATAATTTCTGAATCTGGGCCACAAAGAGCCGGCCCAGTAGCCCCCTTCTCATATCTAACAGATTTTTTTTTTTTTGTTTAAAATCCGGCGGATAACAAATATATCCTTGGAAACGACAGCCCAAAAACCATCTTAACATTTATTTAGATGTTGATCATATATTTTGAAAACATTTGCAAATTAAATAATGATGTTTTGTATTTTTCAATAAAAATTAGTGAAAAATGTTAGAAAACGGCATTTTTGAGAATTGAATATGAAGGTCGATTTTTATTTTTTTAAGTTGTGATAACGTCTACAAAACATTTGTAAAACAAATGAGATGTTGTTGTTTGGTCTTTTCAAACAAACAAAAAAAAATCACCAGACTGAGTCCAAGCACCAATCACCAGACCCCCACAAAAATTTGTTTCGAAATAGATTTTATTTTTATCCCTTATTTTTAGTCTTTACCTATGTTTTAGATTAGTGCTTCATGCATGAAAAAAATATAACGATCAAGTTGAGGACTAGTGGTAATAAAAGGAATATTCTAATGGCGGCTTTCATTGGCAACCTTTGGCACCCAATATCAACATGCCCATCTTTTTCATGTTTACCTAAAAATTATGATATTTTGCCGTCAAACTTAGGAACGTCGTCGTTTTTTCGTACTATAATTGGCGTAGCTGAGTCAACCAAACGCAACTCTAAACGAGTCAGGATGCTCCACGTACGCCAGGCTTTTGATGTGGAGCCCATGAGAACCGCCCCTACTTGGCATTGACGCAAAGGTTTATACTTTATATTTGGGTCAACATCAACACCTGCTTATTATATTTGATTACTACATACTTACTTACTAATAATATTTTTTTTTGACATCTACTTACTAATAAGATTATCTTCTAATAACACGACATTAATCTAATCTCTCCTTATTTTGTTTCGTATAATTATCCAATCTCTTCTTCTTCTTTTTTTTTTTCCGTGAATAAATAAAACAGTTTCGTAATTCTTGTATTTTTGTCGACTACTTGCGTTATCCGCAGCTAGTTGCAAAATTATGTTGTTTAATTGTAGAATAAAATTGATTTAATATAACTAATGGATCAAATAAATTGGAAAAAAAAAAACAAATTGAAAAAGAAGAATGGAAGCACAAATGTCAGTGAGGAGAGCCTAAGTCTTGGCCACCTCTCTTGTTTCTTTCATAGTTTGCTTTGCTTTGCTTTTTCCCCAGAAGGACCATAAAGTATGATTTCTTCTTGAAGCCAATATTAGAATCTCTCAATCTACCGTCTAGGGTTCTTTCTGGGTTCGAACGAAAATGGGTTCATCGATGAGGCAATTGAAGGCCATGCTCCGCAAGAATTGGCTCCTCAAAACTCGTCATCCCTTCGTTACTTCAGCTGAGGTTTTTCTCTCTCTCTCTCTCTCTCTCTCTCTCTCTCTCTCTCTCTCTCTTGCTCTCTTTGATCCTCAAAACTATGTCGTTTTCATGCTTATTCACTGATCGTCTTCTCATGGGTCTTCTTCTCGTTGTTGCTGAATGCAATTGTTGTGTTTTGTTTCTGAGAATTTCGAATTGGTTATTGTTGATCAAATTTTGCTTCTTTCTCTTATTCTGTGGCAGATTTTACTTCCGACTCTTGTAATGTTGCTGTTGATAGCCGTCAGGACTCGGGTTGACACCACAATTCACCCGGCTCGCTCGTAAGATCACATTTTCATACATTGTCACTAGCCTCTCTTTGCAAATTTGTCACTAAAATTGGATTTTGATTTCGTTTTCTTTCTGTTGATTATTGCAGGAACATAGAGAAAGATACGATCGTCGAAGTGGGAAAAGGCAACTCTCCTAGTTTTCCACAAGTTTTGAAGCTTTTGCTTGCTGAGGGGGAATTTTTAGCTTTTGCACCTGACACTGATGAAACAAATAACATGATCGACATTTTGTCTCTTAAGTTTCCGGAACTGCGGGTAATCATCATCACTTCTTCATCTTATGCTTCTTAGAAATCTTCTAGAACGATGTTACTTTTTTTTATAGCATTTATGCCTCTTCTTTCCTCTTAATAACCTTTTGGCTCAGTGTTTACTCTTCATATGTCACACGGTTAATTGACCTTGTGTCT